AAAGGAGTGGTTAAATGATTTGGGTTTTTTAAAAAGTTTTTTAAGATTGTGGGGTGATTAAGTAAGAAAAGAGAGAGAGAGAGAGATAAAGAGAGGTTGTGGTGGTAGAAGGGGGTTTACTCTAAACGCTGAGTCAGTCTTACTGCATAGCAGCACCAACTGGCTGTGACTGAACATTGAGAACCCTGCTGGGCAGAAACATGCAGTATAGCTTAAATCTGAATAACTGTTGGAGATACACTTACATTTATGCTTACGAAAGTTGTAGTTGGAACTCCTTTCCATGAAACTGCCTTTCCATACCATTTGAGGGCTACTACATTGCAGTATTTTTTCTATAATAGGAATACCTGTTATATATCAGGAATGAGGATTAGTGAAGGCCAGGCCTTCATCGTTGTGTTGGCTGAAGCTGTTTAGGATAAATTGCAAGGATAATAATTTGAATCAATCTGAAACTGAAAGAAAAAGTAGAGCCTGTAACCATAAAGATTGTATTCCCATATAGGCACGCCAAATATAACATACACGTATTTGCTTTATTAAACTAGAGCTTATGACCATATTATCTTTCTTAACATTATTGATTCTGTGCAGGAGTGTAATCCAATGAGACCCAGAATAAGGTGGAGGCATCTATAGGAGTTACAGCGGCTGTGAAAGAACTACCTCTATCTTTGTCCAACTGGCACAGACAAATGTAGCATTTGTTTTATCACTGATTCATTATTATTGGCCTGTGCTGCCTTATACTATGCATTAAACCCATTCCAACCTGATGACAGCTCGTTACTAGAAACAAATCCCCGCTGGGTACACCGAATGCCAGATTTTTCTGGATAGAGTCAGTTGTAATATCAAGTGTTAATTTTTTAACAGTTTTACACAGTTTTAGTTGCAGTTTTCACCTTTTGATGAGAATATCCTTTAAATTTAGTCAATATTACATCATATATTCCATTAATTAATTTTGACTGAAATGCACTGTCGACAAAAATAACATTGTAGTTGATTAAATTAAAATGTAATCTCCCGTTAACATCAAGAATAATAACTATAACTATAAAAATAAGTAAATTAGTGTCAATGTTATTTTTGTATTATTTATTTACTATAATATTTTTATTATTTTGAGCCAGCTTTTATTTTTAAATTTTCAGTTTTCATTTTAATTTTAATTAAATTTGTAGTCTATATACTTTAAATATTACTATTAATTTATTTCAGTTTAATTTTAGGTTTTATTAATAGTAATTACAGTAATTTTAGTGCTTGACCTTGAATTCTGGTTGTCAATATTTTATTGTTCATCAGCTGGAAAAAAAGATAGCTCTGAAAGCGATTCCAACCCTATCGTTCCTCTGTGTCATTATCGTTATAGTTGTTGTGCGAACCTTGCTATTCTCTTATAATTAGATTATTTAAACTTTATTCTTGTTCTTGGTATGAACACTAGTGATATCTAATTGATTGTTATTTAGAAATCCTAAATATTTTTTGAAGTGGGATTTTTCCTTCTCTTTTAGAGGAATCTATATATTGCTACACCCCACACAACTTCACACGCGACCAGGCCCTGTATGCCAGAGGCTACTGCTGGACAGAGCTTCGAGATGCAGTGCCTGGCGTCGACCCCCAGCTTTGGCCCTCCTTGTTTGAGCACAAGTTTCTGCCCTACGCTCTGCTGGCCTTCACAGGCATCATGTACATACCTGCCCTGGGATGGTTTTTGTAGGCCAACTGGGAAGTTCCCTTGATAAAAAGCCAATAGTATTGTTTCATTTTCTTTAGGATTATTGCAGAAAACAAGCTCTGTGACCAACAAAAGCTTATGATCCTTACATATTTTGTTAATTAAAGTAATCTTCACAAATGAATACAACTTTTATGAATTTTGAAGTGTAAATGCAGCCACCAGAAGTAAAAAGCCAAAGTTAGGCTATAAATAAACTACACAATGGTTGTATGACTTAAATGTCACCAGTGTTATTGTGTCCTACAACTTTCAACTCTTTATTTAAAATGTACAAGTTAGAAAGTTTGAATTAGAATAGTTATAGCAAGTGCGTGAGTATCAATATAATGAGGCAGTAAAAGTGGACTAGTGAGTAGAAGAGTTTTCCTGTTTGGTGTGATGACGTCTGGATATCTCACACTTCTAAATGTCTCAGACATCTGGATGTCTCTGTAGTCCCACTTATTAGACTTCTTGCCTTTTTCAAGACACATAAAAGCTTAAAAAATCACAAGGTGGTGGTATTACTGATGTATTTTATGCCATAGAATAAAACATGAAAATATCTTGAGCTTTTGTTAACCACAGGCCTTATTTCAGGGATTCCAAAAATCAAACTGTCTTTGGGATAATGGAACAGGAAGTGCAGAAATGCTTTTAGATTAGGGGTTTAGGACTCCATTCCTGCAGTACTCAATTGCACATTCAATAGATTGCTCTATTTTTACATTTTTCCTATTTTCTTAACTCACCCACTTAAGCCTATTTCAAGTTAATAAAAAAAAACAGGAATAATTTAATTACACATGTTCTGTTAAATCTTTAGCCAATCTTAAAGTTAATTTATCCATTTTTACTCTGTACATTAAAATGTTATTATGCATAAATTGACTTTAATTTGGCTTTAAAAGAATTGATTTTAGTTTAGGTGTTTTTTATTATTATTTATTTAGACAAAATTGTATTTTAATATCAGACATAAAACAATATGTGTTGGTTTATATTTGTATTACCAATAATTCTTTATCATCTTTTTGTGCCCTTAGAGAAGAAAGAGTCTACTCCACTGTCCACCACCACTGCCTTCTCCACAGCATCATATATGAATGTTGGAATGCCCAGCATGCCTCCTCCAGACTTCCCGAAGGTCGAAGATCCTCTCAACCAGGGGACGGAGCCTGAGAGCCAGCCCGGAAGCTCAGATCATTTCATTTTCAGAGATGAAGATTACTGGGCATTGGGGAAGCCAATGTTTAGCATATTTTATACTCTTAAAGGTGCACTTACATGTAATTATTTTTATTTATGTTAAACTGGAGTTTTCAGTTACTGGTGTATTATTAAAAACACTATTAATTTTTAATATTAAGTGTACCTTTCAAAATCATCTCCTCGAGTTTGAATCACCTAGTCTGTCTTGCATAGTAGGTCAGCCCTTTATCTTTTTTAGCCTCTCTGTAATGTGTATGTTTGATGAGATATTTCTGTTATAGGTGAACCTCAGAAAAGGGTGTATAAAGTTCACAATGTTGTAAGATGCTGTAAGCAATTTTTAATATCATGCATAAAATGCTTACTACCTCACAAACTGTCACATGGCGTGTTTATCCACACACCTCTGGTGCACTTATTTAACGAGACTATATCACTCTGGGTCTTTGGGTTAAGTGCTCAAAGACATTCAACTCTGGATTGTCAGAAGAAATATGGATCTTTATACCAGCTTTTTTGAACAGACAGAGTTGTGACGGAAAGATTTTAGCTTCTTCAGCTGGACACTTTCAAACTTTTTGATACCTAAATCACCATGAACCACAGTTTGTGTGTCATTCCACCTTTGTAAATCCTAGTTAAAACCTTTGATATTCACTTATGCATTTTGTGGTGAAGTATAACAAATGCCCTGCCAAAATACACTTTTATGATTGTGAGTGAATACAAGTGCACAATTAGAATCCTAGAGGACCTCTAACCACAAGGCATGAGACTGATTTTAGAGATAGCTGCTGCAGCTCACTGTTTTTCTAGCACATATTATGCATCCAAGTGCAATATTTTGATAATGATAATGTGATACAGGGAACAAAGATCACGTATGACAATACCATTAGAGGGGAAGGAACCACACCTGATTTTCCAGGCTTGAATTTTAAAATGTGAATATAATTTGATGGTATTATGGGTGCTAATCTCAAACTTGGAAATCTTAATGGCCAACATGTTAAAATGGGGTTAGACAAGGTAGTTCGTGGCCATATTACCTTATTTGTTTTGTTCTTGCATTTAGGGGAAACATTGTAAATTAATATTTGTTTTGTAGCACCATTTCATTTTTTTTTTTTGGTCTATTTTTGTGCCACAAATTATTGACAATTGACAAATTTTAATATGTGTATATTTATGGAACTGCAGCATTTCAACCAAGTAACCTGCTTAGAGAAAAGAGAAATTCTATGCTAAAAAGAGAAAATGTTAGATTATCACGAGTATACTGCATGTTACACCATTTACGTGAGTTTGAATCACCTAGTCTGTCTTGCATACGTAGGTGAGCCCTTTATCTTTTTTAGCCTCTCTCAAATGTGTATGTTTGATGAGATATTTCTGTTATAGGTGAACCTCAGAAAAGGGTGTATAAAGTTCACAATGTTGTAAGATGCTGTAAGCAATTTTTAATATCATGCATAAAATGCTTACTACCTCACAAAAACACTGAAACAAGTATGATGAGAAATCCCACCTGTCGTACATAAGCTCTGTTAACAGAATTCAGATGTGCAGCCATGCTGTTTAGCCAAAAAGAAACACCTTATTGGCTATGAATCTTTTTTTGCGTTTGGGCTTGGTCATTGGTTGACGGCGGCCATCACCAGGGCCAAGTTCAAGCTCAAACCGGTGTGCACCGTTTTGCTACGGTTTCCGGTTTGAACGACATGTTTCCTGGAAACGGTGTGCAACGAGGTTTGAGATGCGTTTTCTCTTGTTTGGTGGGTGTGTCAAACATGTCAGCCCAATCAGCAGCAACATGTATGTAAACCACGTGGTATTAAAGAGACAGCTCGCACAATGTAAATAACATACCTGAGCACCTACTACGCCCGTCAGAGGCAGAACGAGTTCACTTGCGTGCTTGGCGAGCCGCCGGACACTAGCAGCATCCCTGAACTGCGGCTAAATGTTAACTGCAAGCTATCAGCCGTGCAGCTCCAACGCATTATGGCCGCAGTGGACATCGCTTTGCTGTGTACTATGAACCTCATTATCCTTGTGAACTTGCTGCATTTGTTTGTAGTGCGCAAGTCAAATTTCGTCTTCGACAAGCTGCACAAGGTTGGCATTAAAACACGCCGCCGCTGGCAGAAGTCACAGTTTTGCGACATCAACATTCTGGCCATGTTCTGTAATGAGAACAGAGACCACATTAAGTCTCTCAACAGACTGGACTTTATCACCAACGAGAGTGACCTCATGTATGATAATGTGGTGCGGCAGCTGCTGGCAGCGTTGGCTCAATCCAACCACGACGCCACTCCAACTGTGAGAGACTCTGAGATCCAGACTGTTGACCCCAGTATGGACCCTTCAGTGCTCGGTGTGGGAGAATTGGGAGGAGAGCCCTCAGTAATCAAAAGACCGCGCAAGAAGATCAAGTGGATCCCCACATCTAACCCTCTGCCACAGCCTTTTAAGGTAAGACGTTCTTGTTCATATTTAGTTGATGAATAGCTTACTTGTTGTTTGTGAAATGTACCTCATAGTTCTTTGCTTTTATACAGGAACCCTTGACTCTAACCAGACTGGAAAACAGCATAAAAGCAGAGAAACCTAAACCAGTCCGTAGGAAGTATGTAGCAGATAGCATTATTGCTCCACTTCTGGACAGCAAGAGCACACAACATCCTCCTACTAACAAAGGTACTGGTATAGTTAAACCTGGTTTTGGTTAGTATAGCGAACGTCATTCAAATCCTTCACTGATCGTATTCCTAATTTTATTTTTCAGCTGCAGAAACAAATAATATAGAGAAGAAACACACTCTTAACCTCTCGCTGGATGTTCATCCTTACATGCTAACCATCCAGAAAGCGAAAACAGAAACGGTCAATCCTGAGCCACCCCCTGTTGTTGAGCACTCTCTCAGTAATGTGTATATTGAGGGTCCACATACAGTTGTACATGTCTCATCTTCTCATACTGGTATGCTTGGTTTGTCTCTAGGGATGCACAATGTATTTGGTACCATATTGGCGTTGTTATAGTTTGCTGCAGGGATGGTGTATTTTTGTAGGCCAACTGGGAAGTTCCCTTGATAAAAAGCCAATAGTATTGTTTCATTTTCTTTAGGATTATTGCAGAAAACAAGCTCTGTGACCAACAAAAGCTTATGATCCTTACATATTTTGTTAATTAATGTAATCTTCACAAATGAATACAACTTTTATGAATTTTGAAGTGTAAATGCAGCCACCAGAAGTAAAAAGCCAAAGTTAGGCTATAAATAAACTACACAATGGTTGTATGACTTAAATGTCACCAGTGTTATTGTGTCCTACAACTTTCAAATCTTTATTTAAATTTTACAAGTTAGAAAGTTTGAATTAGAATAGTTATAGCAAGTGCGTGAGTATCAATATAATGAGGCAGTAAAAGTGGACTAGTGAGTAGAAGAGTTTTCCTGTTTGGTGTGATGACGTCTGGATATCTCACACTTCTAAATGTCTCAGACATCTGGATGTCTCTGTAGTCCCACTTATTAGACTTCTTGCCTTTTTCAAGACACATAAAAGCTTAAAAAATCACAAGGTGGTGGTATTACTGATGTATTTTATGCCATAGAATAAAACATGAAAATATCTTGAGCTTTTGTTAACCACAGGCCTTATTTCAGGGATTCCAAAAATCAAACTGTCTTTGGGATAATGGAACAGGAAGTGCAGAAATGCTTTTAGATTAGGGGTTTAGGACTCCATTCCTGCAGTACTCAATTGCACATTCAATAGATTGCTCTATTTTTACATTTTTCCTATTTTCTTAACTCACCCACTTAAGCCTATTTCAAGTTAATAAAAAAAAACAGGAATAATTTAATTACACATGTTCTGTTAAATCTTTAGCCAATCTTAAAGTTAATTTATCCATTTTTACTCTGTACATTAAAATGTTATTATGCATAAATTGACTTTAATTTGGCTTTAAAAGAATTGATTTTAGTTTAGGTGTTTTTTATTATTATTTATTTAGACAAAATTGTATTTTAATATCAGACATAAAACAATATGTGTTGGTTTATATTTGTATTACCAATAATTCTTTATCATCTTTTTGTGCCCTTAGAGAAGAAAGAGTCTACTCCACTGTCCACCACCACTGCCTTCTCCACAGCATCATATATGAATGTTGGAATGCCCAGCATGCCTCCTCCAGACTTCCCGAAGGTCGAAGATCCTCTCAACCAGGGGACGGAGCCTGAGAGCCAGCCCGGGCCTTTTAGTCGAAACCCCTCACACCCGCTGCTGAGCATCCATCACACCTTGTGAGGACAAGGAGGAGCAAAACAGAAGGGACAGACTAGCCAGACCGGGCGAGTTTATTGCTGCTGGAGAGTGTTAAAGGAAAATGCAGATACACACCTGCACACACTCTCACACACAAATGCAAAAGCACTTAGAATATGAACTGAAGCACAAAGGAATATGCCGGTTTTTAGGGTTATGTTAATGGTTATGTCATTAAAGGTGAAGCTCAGATCATTTCATTTTCAGAGATGAAGATTACTGGGCATTGGGGAAGCCAATGTTTAACATATTTTATACTCTTAAAGGTGCACTTACATGTAATTATTTTCATTTATGTTAAACTCGAGTTTTCAGTTACTGGTGTATTATTAAAAACACTATTAATTTTTAATATTAAGTGTACCTTTCAAAATCATCTCCCAGCCTTACATCCACATACTCAGACGTGTGTAGTTTGAGGGAAAATAAAATCACCCATGACCTTGGTGCTCACCTTATGGGTTAATGAGTTCCCTATGACATTCCAAATGAAGGCAAGGCACATCAGAATTTTGCACAAAGCACCATTTGTTCCTGTATCATCAATGTCCACATGGTTTGGTGTTTTATTTTTATTTATTTTTTTGCAATCAGCGTCTGTTTCATATAGATGTCTTGAGGTATCCAATGCAATACATGTATTCTTAAAATATGCAACCTCATGTCTTATTGTCGCAATAATATGCACATTAGGAATGTATATACTGAGGTGTACAGAAAAAAAAACTGATAATATGAGAGATTTTAGGCATTCTTTAAAAAAAAAAAAAAAGACTGTCACATGGCGTGTTTATCCACACACCTCTGGTGCACTTATTTAACGAGACTATATCACTCTGGGTCTTTGGGTTAAGTGCTCAAAGACATTCAACTCTGGATTGTCAGAAGAAATATGGATCTTTATACCAGCTTTTTTGAACAGACAGAGTTGTGACGGAAAGATTTTAGCTTCTTCAGCTGGACACTTTCAAACTTTTTGATACCTAAATCACCATGAACCACAGTTTGTGTGTCATTCCACCTTTGTAAATCCTAGTTAAAACCTTTGATATTCACTTATGCATTTTGTGGTGAAGTATAACAAATGCCCTGCCAAAATACGCTTTTATGATTGTGAGTGAATACAAGAAGTGCACAATTAGAATCCTAGAGGACCTCTAACCACAAGGCATGAGACTGATTTTAGAGATAGCTGCTGCAGCTCACTGTTTTTCTAGCACATATTATGCATCCAAGTGCAATATTTTGATAATGATAATGTGATACAGGGAACAAAGATCACGAATGACAATACCATTAGAGGGGAAGGAACCACACCTGATTTTCCAGGCTTGAATTTTAAAATGTGAATATAATTTGATGGTATTATGGGTGCTAATCTCAAACTTGGAAATCTTAATGGCCAACATGTTAAAATGGGGTTAGACAAGGTAGTTCATGGCCATGTTACCTTATTTGTTTTGTTCTTGCATTTAGGGGAAACATTGTAAATTAATATTTGTTTTGTAGCACCATTTCATTTTTTTTGTCTATTTTTGTGCCACAAATTATTGACAAATATTTGTGTTTAATATGTGTATATTTATGGAACTGCAGCATTTCAACCAAGTAACCTGCTTAGAGAAATAAATTAATCTATGCTAAAAAGAGAAAATGTTAGATTATCACGAGTATACTGCATGTTACACCATTTACTCGAGTTTGAATCACCTAGTCTGTCTTGCATAGTAGGTCAGCCCTTTATCTTTTTTAGCCTCTCTGTAATGTGTATGTTTGATGAGATATTTCTGTTATAGGTGAACCTCAGAAAAGGGTGTATAAAGTTCACAATGTTGTAAGATGCTGTAAGCAATTTTTAATATCATGCATAAAATGCTTACTACCTCACAAAAACACTGAAACAAGTATGATGAGAAATCCCACCTGTCGTACATAAGCTCTGTTAACAGAATTCAGATGTGCAGCCATGCTGTTTAGCCAAAAAGAAACACCTTATTGGCTATGAATCTTTTTTTGCGTTTGGGCTTGGTCATTGGTTGACTGCGGCCATCACCAGGTTAATGAATTGTAGTTACCATAATAAACTATTTGTTTTTTTATTTTCAAACTTTGTCTTCAGTTACTATAATATTATCTGAATGACAAGGATAAATTGCACCTCACAAATGACCAATGTAATCTGTTTTAAACGTAAGATAAAATATCTACTTAAGCTGTGAAAATTTCTTTTAAAAAAATAAAAAATAAACAATGCAGATTTTAACCGCATTTTGTTTCAGAAAGCACAAACGTGAGTCAATGTAATGTTACATCTAGACCTACTTTTTAACTTTTTTTTTTGTTACAGTGTAGCAAAGCACTTACAAAAGATACAATTTGGATTACAATAGTTCCTTTTAAAACAGTTTAGCAGGGTAATGTTTAAATTATACTTCCTACTGTTGTTATACGGATTAATATAGATTAAGTATAAACCCGACTTTTTTTCCACACAAAATCATGTTTACACGGCCTCAGTCGCTATCATCCTATATACACTACATTACCCAGAAAGCATTGCAATAACAGGCGGCGCTACAGAGTCATGCGAGCAGCTGAGCTGTAGCTCTAACTTTAATCATTTCACTTTTGCCGAGGCTAGCAAATATACTAAAGTCAAGGTGGTAGTTTTAGTATTATTTAAATATCTCTATGATAAAATGCAATGTTATAATCGTCACGGCGCGCCAAAATAAGTATTGTTAGCTAGTTCTTTAAAGTTTTTAAAGGGGCTTCGCGTATATTAGCATAGCATCAGCTAACAGCTGCGTGGATGTGTGCGCAGTTAGCCTGTAGCCGAACTACCTTGTCAAGAATCATCCCTCAGTACAACTGACTGTCCGACACCGGTCCAATCCGATCCGGTACTTTCGTGGGAAGAGTGGACAAGCTGTGTGCCAAGTCAAATGTAAGAGTTATTTTTATGTTTGCTGCTTTTTCGAAGTGGTGGCTGAGATTGCAGCTAATGGTGCATCAGATTTTGCGGTTTAGTTTTACCTTCTGTTTGGACTGACTGTTTATAACTTAAATTTAAAATGTGCTCGGCTTTTCTATGAAATTTAACTGCTTACAAAAGCATTTTAAAAGCTAGAAACTGTAAGCTGTCTGAATTGAGTTTGGTGTGCTAACCAGGTGGTCTAATGACAGCAGGTTGCCATCTTTAATGTCTGCCTTCTGTAGGATTAGATCTGTTACATGGTCTACATTTGTACATTTGTTGTGCAACGTAAAAGATAGTTAACAGATCTGAACCCTCATCAAAACAAAAACGAATCCTGTTGTGCTGGAATCACAGTAGTTCGAAAAGTATACGTGGTGTAATTGCACGAGGCAAGATGGCTGGCTGATAATCAAGTCTGATGACTCACTTTACTCGACCAAGCCAACTGCACAAGTCAGAAAAGTTAGAAATCCTTTAATTAAACAGTGTCTGGTTTAGTGTTGAGGCATATATTTCCAACAGGCCAGTACACAGCCTTCCAAAGCTCTTCAAATCTGTTGAACGTCTCAATGCCATTTGGTGGAGTCATATTATGTGGGTTGTTTTTGTGTCTGACTCATATGATCTTTTATTTCAGGTTGAGGTTTTACTGAACAGTGGACAATGGATCAGGACAACAACTCGGAGGTATAGAATTAAGAGCTTGTAGGTTTTGTTTTGTCTTTGGCAGGATGAGAAATTCACGAAGTATTTATAAACTAATTTATTTTCACGATGATGGATGTTTATCTGTAATTATTAAGGAGGATTTGATTCAAGTCATAAACACATGCCGCTAAATTGAAATGGCATCTGTTGTGGTTCAGTGATTCAGTTTTCTGTGCTTTTCATTCACTTTCATTCTTGTTTAATGTACGTATAGTCTCTTTATTGCCTTCTTGTGGGTACTGAAAGTATTGGATAATGGTCTTTTGTTTGTTTAGGTGGGCATTTCCCATGATGAGGAAATATGTACAGCATTCTTTGTTTTACTGAAACTTTAAAACTGCTCAAGATATCATTCGCTCATTCTTGAAAACAAAACGGCAGTTCCTAGAAGTGAATGCCAAGCTTTTTCGCACCTGTTTTGTGTACGTTTTCAGAATGTGTTTATATAAAGAAATATGTAGATTATTATGCATCATTTTTGTTTTTAGGATGACTCAGTTGGCCAAGCAGAAGATGATACACAACCTCCATTTCCTCTTGGACTCTGTGAGTAATCTGATTTAAAGTTTGCAAATCCCAATGTTCTTTTATATGATTTTGTAAGAAATGGTGCCGTGTAGTCCTCAAAATTAATCTTCTTTGCAAAGGTGTAATATTGTATCATTTCAAAACTCTCATTGTTCAGTGCAGGGTTGTTAGAGTTTTTAATGTTTTATTAATAAACTAATATGAATAAATTATTAATAAAATTGATCTTTTCAGTTGGGTTTATTGTTAGTTTTCACTATCATACTTAATTTTATTATTATTATTTTTTTTCTAATTTAATTTTGTTTTTAGTTATAGTATTTTAGAGCTACCAACTTTGTGCTAACTGGTATGATTAAAATTTTTATTACATTTCTCAGCACAGTCTAGTGTTTTTGCTGTCTAGTGGCATTTTCATTTTTAATGCAGGAGGGTTGTAAAGCTTTCAAGTTTTATAATATGCCATGTTTCAAAAACTTTCTAGAGTCAATTTATTTTAGTTTCTATTTTCCCAGTTATGTTTTTATTTTTTTAAAGTTTTGTATAAATGTTTTTTTTTTTTCCAATTTAACTTTTGTTAACAGTAGTAGCACTGCTCCAGTGCACATTTAATTGCTAAACTAACGAGTTTAGTTCATCTAAGTTAGAAAATTAAGCCGATTTGAACGATTTCAAGTTTTAAACTTTTTTCAAATGTCACACCACCACAAAAGATCAAACCATGTTTTCTAAAGCTCAACCTTCCTATGTTTGTGCTCCAGTACTGCTTGAAAAGCAGATCACTCCATTAAGATTTCTTCTGCCAAAGTAATGACTTATAAATGAATTTGAGGGCTTTTTTTTTTTTTTTTACAAAAATGATTTGTAAATGAATTTAGTTAATCAACATTATTAATTTAATATTTAAAAAATATATATTCAAAAGTAATTCAATTGATCGACAGCCTTCACATTTTTATTTATATTTTTAATAAAGGCAAATTTTACTAAATTAAATCTAATTTAAATCTGAATTCAATTAAATTTTAAGCATGAAATTCCAACAAGCTTAATGAAGCCTTTATTTAGGACCATTATTTTAAAGACAATAATTGTTGTAAAAGTAATGGTCCTAAATATAGACTTCGTTTTAAGCAAAACATGATTTTTTTTATTGTAGCTGAAATATGGCCTGGATATGTTCTTGTTTAGTTGAAATTTACATGAATCTTATTTTGGTATGTGTTCTTGCGCTTATCAGCAAGGAGGATGTAGAGAAATGTAAACAAAAGGACCTTCTGGAGCAGACCATGTCAGAAATGATTGGCGAGTTTCCAGCCCTCCACCGCACTATTGTTGCAGAACGAGACATCTACCTCACACACACACTTAGACAAGCAGCGCGCTGTGTGGAGGCGCCTCCTAACGCTGAGAGTGAGTACTGCATGCCGCAGTCTTTTCAACTGCCCTGCTGTGAAGTGATAGTGATGTTAATTTGATCTAGGGAAATTTCTTGAATTTAAAAATACATATTGTGGGTATGCTCAGTGTCATACATTTACATACATTTCTGTCATTTACTCACCCTCATGCCTATGATAAACATAAAAAATCTGACAGATTCTGGCTGATATGGTCTCTCCTTTGGGAATACATAAAAGAGCTCTCTCGACGTACATGCAGTTTTTAACTTCTTTAATTTGTTTAATTCTTATTTTAAGTCTGCTCTAAAATGGTGTGATCATTCTTTGTGTCATTTGTTTTTTCTTTGCTTTTTCCCCACCATTTATTTTTGCTTATCTTTTAGGTTTTGTACATTCTGTAACATGAATATATGATGTGATACTGTTAATGTTATTTTGATACTGTGGGCAAACAATAAAAAAAAAAATCACTTGTGATATTGCGGAAATAAAATGTTAGATGAAAAAGAAATAAACTAAATAAGATGTTAATATAATGCTAAAGGCACTTTTATAGTGTGTGTCCAATCCATTAAGATTTCTTCTGCCAAAGTAATGACTTTTAAATTAATTTGAGGGCTTTTTTTTTTTTAACAAAAATGATTTGTAAATGAATTTAGTTAATCAACATTATTAATTTAATATTTAAAAAATATATATTCAAAAGTAATTCAATTGATCGACAGCCTTCACATTTTTATTTATATTTTTAATAAAGGCAAATTTTACTAAATTAAATCTAATTTAAATCTGAATTCAATTAAATTTTAAGCATGAAATTCCAACAAGCTAAATGGTCCTAAATAAAGGCTTCATTATTTTAAAGACAATAATTGTTGTAAAAGTAATGGTCCTAATTATAGACTTTGTTTTGTTTAAGCAAAACATGATTTTTTTTATTGTAGCTGAAATATGGCCTGGATATGTTCTTGTTTAGTTGAAATTTACATGAATCTTATTTTGGTATGTGTTCTTGCGCTTATCAGCAAGGAGGATGTAGAGAAATGTAAACAAAAGGACCTTCTGGAGCAGACCATGTCAGAAATGATTGGCGAGTTTCCAGCCCTCCACCGCACTATTGTTGCAGAACGAGACATCTACCTCACACACACACTTAGACAAGCAGCGCGCTGTGGAGGCGCCTCCTAACGCTGAGAGTGAGTACTGCATGCCGCAGTCTTTACAACTGCCCTGCTGTGAAGTGATAGTGATGTTAATTTGATCTAGGGAAATTTCTTGAATTTAAAAATACATATTGTGGGTATGCTCAGTGTCATACATTTACATACATTTCTGTCATTTACTCACCCTCATGCCTATGATAAACATAAAAAATCTGACAGATTCTGGCTGATATGGTCTCTCCTTTGGGAATACATAAAAGAGCTCTCTCGACGTACATGCAGTTTTTAACTTCTTTAATTTGTTTAATTCTTATTTTAAGTCTGCTCTAAAATGGTGTGATCATTCTTTGTGTCATTTGTTTTTTCTTTGCTTTTTCCCCACCATTTATTTTTGCTTATCTTTTAGATTTTGTACATTCTGTAACATGAATATATGATGTGATACTGTTAATGTTATTTTGATACTGTGGGCAAACAATAAAAAAAAAAATCACTTGTGATATTGCGGAAATAAAATGTTAGATGAAAAACTTAAAACTATTACCTTTAATTTGAAGTACTAAAATTTGAAGTAAACCTGAATGAAACCCAGATTAAACCTGAATTAAAGCTAAATAACAAATTTTAAAAAATAAAAACTAAAATTAGTAATAATGGCAAACGCACATAGCAAAATTACTAAAATTACAACTGAAAATTAAAATATTAAAATAAAGGCTAATTTAAAATAATAAATGTATGGTATATTAGTATATAAATTATGCTAAAATAAAACTGCCAGTGCTTCATTCAAGCAAGAAACATATTTGGAGTCATGTTAATTGTTATATGAAACCTCTCGTTCAGACGCTCTCTTTTTTTTTTCTTCAGAAGTGCCTGCTGTGGTGGTTGGAGTGGTCGGGATGGGTCATGTTCCTGGTATTGAGAGGAACTGGGATGAAGAGCTCAATATTCATGAGATCATGCGGTACGTACAGACACAGCTGCATGTACTTTGGTATCTAATAGCACCAGATATATCATGACAAAAATCTTTGTTTCTTTTCCTTTTAGCGTGGCTCCACCCTCTCGATTTGGCTGGGTAGTACGCAATGTGTTGAAAGGAGCCATGTGGGGGCTTCTGGGTTATGCCTGCTTCCGTGCCAGCAAGGGTGTGGGGAGGGTGTTACTGTCCTTTCCGACAGTCCAATCGTTGCTTGAAAATATACGAACACCTTCCGTTTGACCCTTTTTTATCGGCACAGACTTTTCAGCAGTGAGATCAGGATGTCACACTGAACACCAATAGCCTTAACTACAGGATGGTGGTTGGGTGAAGGGGAAAATTATAGGCAAACATCGTCTCCATCCCATATGAAATAAACAATATGGGTAGAAGCTTTTGACTAGCTCTCTACCTCCTCAACCCTCTGTCCATCCGCTCTGTGGACGCAGAGCTGTACTGCCAAAGAAATCGGACCGTGCTTTCATTCCCCTTTTCCTCATTCTTAAAGTATGACCTACTAGGAAATTAGCTGCAGCAGGATTTCCCACCTAATCATTCAACTTGAACTGAAGTTTTATTTTGCTGTGATTTACTCTTGGTTGGCTCCTGCAAATAGTTGATGCATTTTGTTTCCCAGCAGTCCAGTGTTGTTTTTCCCTGAGAGTCAACGTTTTCATCTGCGACCTAATCTGTAGTTCATTAAGAATGAATGATAAAGCCACCTTTTTTTATTAATGGAACAATATCACAGTCCCTGCATTTAAATTTGATCGTAATGGATCATGGTGGTTGCAAACTAATTAAACAGGTTGACTAACTGATTGGTGTAATACAATGTATTTAAAAAAATTCTACTGATCCAATGACCCAGTAGTCTAGTTCTCCTGTCGCTGTCTTCCTGTTAACTTCATGCAGTTTTACTTTTTGATCATCTAGATCTGCTGCACTTATTGGATGAGAAATGACATTGTCAAAGGTATTCGAGTCATATCTTTGTGCATCCTTCAGCTTTACTGCTCTAATGTCATTTTTTTCTAACCATTGTTAACTGTGGAAAAGGGGAATAAATGGTCCCACTTCTTTTGTTAGTGCTATCATTTTTGTCCTTCATATTCAAGAAGCCAATGCTCTACTATATCTCATATATTAAAATCTTAAATAAAATTTCCAACATGTTATATTTGTCTTTCATAACTTCAGTAAGTACTTTAATGCATAAGTGTGCATATACATACAGTGCTGGGTAGATTACTTACAAATTGTAGTCCATTACTGACTACAGATTACATGATGAAAATTATAGTTAGTAGTGTAATCTAGGAGGTTACTCGTTTTAGGTAATGTATTCTTACTAATTTTTAGATTACGTTTTGTCTAACTTATTTTAAACTTACTATTAAATGTACCATATTGACAAAGAAATTATAATCCATTTTTATATCAACTTCTTAAAATCAATTAAACATTACATTATAGTCTATTACACAAGGGTTACCATAGGCTTAATGTAAAAATGTATTGTATTGGGGTTTGGTTTTTACAGTAAACACGAGAATGCGTTGTTAAATTACTGAAATATTAACTTCATCAGAGATTCCAAGTAAATATTTTGTCAGAGGGGTTTGGCTGACAAAAACGTTTGGGAATCACTGCATTACATAAACAAACATTAGTAAACGAAAACAGCAATGAGATTACACTTCCCAAGTCTTCCAGGCTTTAAACATTTTTGTTCGGTCTTCCAGAACCAACCGTTACTAAAGGCTACTGTACATGATAACGACATATTGTTTCACAGCTATACATCATTTGATTTGCTTGTTTCATACATGGTTATTTTAAGTTAATTGCTTGAGAGGTGCTTTCCCCCCAAATTCATTTATATATATATAAACGGAGACTGAGTAAATGTTCGAATCCTGTGTGTTTGTTTCTAGGGGGAACAAAAACAACGACGGACCAGATTTCCGTGGGCATTTGAGAACAGCTTGGTTCTCTTTGCAGTTACGTAAGGATGACTGTCACTTTTTGCCTAGTCTCCTTAACTAACAAGCTTTGTTAGACATCAGTACGATGTGAATGGCCTCTGCTGGAGCGCGTTTAGCTCGTCTTTATATCTCATGTTCCGCTGTTATTTTGCGTAGATCGCTATCACATGTGGGGATGGATGACATGGGAGTTAGCACAAGCCGCTCTTGCCTTGAGCGACAAATACAGTTCGACAATGTTGCTCTTAAAAAACTTCCACTGGACCCTTCCACCGAACCAGGGGTCCGAAAGGTCCGGGGGGCCTGTTTCTCTAGAGTCCAACCCACCCCTCTGAAGAACCCAAAGTTTGTGGCAGTTTCAGGTCCAGCTCTGGCACTGCTGGGTCTTGATGCTGATGAGGTTCTGAAGGATCCACTGGGCCCAGAGTATCTCAGTGGGTCTAAAGTGATGCCAGGATCAGAGCCTGCTGCCCATTGCTACTGTGGACACCAGTTTGGACAGTTTGCAGGACAGCTTGGGGATGGAGCTGCATGTTATCTGGGAGAAGTGAAAGCCCCGGTGGATCAGAGCCCTGAGTTACTGCATGAGAATCCCACTGGACGCTGGGAGATCCAGGTGAAGGGTGCGGGACTGACACCATACTCTAGGTAGGCCTGCTACTGCATTTTCACTGCTACACTTTGTGTGCCACATCATGTTGTGATATTCTCATTGACTGTTCACATTTAAAATGATCATTCTGGAGATGCCGATTCCACGTTTCTTTTCTTTCCTTAAGATCTTTGTCCAGTTTTTGTCCTTTTGTGTTTTTTTAGGCAGGCAGATGGGAGAAAGGTTTTGCGCTCCAGCATACGTGAGTTCCTGTGCAGCGAGGCCGTTTTTGCCTTGGGTGTCCCGACCACGAGAGGTGGATCAGTAGTGACGTCAGATTCACGAGTCATGAGGGATATCTACTATGATGGCAATCCACGCATGGAAAGATGCTCTGTGGTCTTGCGCATTGCTCCCAGCTTTATTAGGTAACCCTGTGTTGTGTTTTTGTTCCTAAATGGTTTCTCATGTAAGTGTTAGTTTAGTATTATTTATGTACTATTATAGTATTTATATATATATATATATATA